CTGTGGGGGCCAAGAGTAATTATGGTGTGATGTTGGACCAAGAGTAACTATGGTGTGATGTTGGACGACTGTGGGGGCCAAGAGTTATTCTGGTGTGGTGTTGGACGACTGTGGGGGGGGCCAAGAGTTATTATGGTGTGATTTTTTGGCGGCTGTGGGCCTCAGCCATGTCCAACCAGAGCCATGACGTGTGTGCCAAGACGCCGGATTATCCTAGTTCTGACCTCTCCACCGTCCACCCCACCCTATGTCCACCGGCCCAGGATGACACCTTGGCATGTCCTGAATGCCACAGGTCGTTCCGCCAGTACAGTCAAGAGGCACTTACAACAGATGCATGGTTTCGAATGTGTCAGAGAAGTTAGACATCTTTCAACCTCAACAAACATGCAAGTGATCGATTCAATGCTCAGAGTGCGTATACGGCACCAGTCGTACCAAGGTTTGATACTAGACCGACACCTGTGTGCTGAACCTGCCAGTAGATGCGCTTTTTGCAACACCAAGACTGCCGCACGGGTCATGAGTCGACATTACACTGAATGCCATCCGGATCTCACGGATTTTGGCAAGCCTTGCATGGATAGAGTCAGATGGGCAGCCAACTTTGGCTCTGGGGTGATGTGCCGTAGTATGTACCATGCACCCAGATCATTGCCCAGTCACGCCGGTGAACAAACGTTCATGGACCACTGCTTTTCCTACGCATGTCAGATGTCCATCATCCCGACCTGGAAAACACCGTCATGACCTAGGCCTCTCGCCTAGACAGCCACCAGAAACAGCGCAGCCGGTGCCTTCCACCCTTCACAGATGCAGTCAGTGCCAAGCTAGCTGCACATGGCCTGCACCTCTATGTTAGCCACCAAGTCCATGCAGACCCTCCAGCACATGGCCTGCGCCTTCATGTTAGCCAAGTCCATGCAGACCCTCCACGACCGCCTGCCCGGATCTGCTGCTGACGGATTTGAGTGTCCCCTGTGCCAGGAACGGGTTGGCCGCAAGGCCTTCGCAGCACACCTCAGGAGCTGCCATGACTTTGACCGTCCCGAGGAAATTGACTTCATACTTCATACCATCGCGAGATGTCATTCCGGGGCGCCTGTCCTGTGCCCATTGCCGTGCCACGTTCAGTGTGGAGTTTGCATTGAGGAACGATTTCAAAAGAGCATCATGCCCAGTCTGTTTGTGCACTTTAGTTCGAGACCTGCGCTTTGGTAGACCGACACCAGCTCCACCGTGTGAGTCCACGACGCCCAAGACGCAAGACGGCTGGCTTTGTACCCTCCAGCAGGCCTTTCCATCAGTCTGACTCCGGCTTCGTTGCACCTGGACCTCATAGCACAGCCCCATTGCAGTGGTTCGTCCACACCATCACTGGCCGGAGCTGCCACAGGTATGCCTGCCCATGACGTGGATCAGCTCATTCCTGCTGCGCATCAGCCAGTACATCCCCATCATTTGGGCCTGGCACTCAAGAGAACAGGACCAAAGGGAGGTATGACCTCAATGCCTGTTTGGACACCATGCATGAGCAACTTGAACTGCTGGTCCAGATTTTGTTTCAACTTGAGCACCCCCTGGCCCAAAGCCATTTGTGCTATTAGGTCCGAAACCACTTACAGCGAAGATCAAACTAGCTTGTTCTGTTTTGTTCGTGGGTTAACTTGTTTGAGGTGAGTTCAATGAAGTAGTGCTCAGTTTAACACAGTTTAACTTTAAAACTATATATAACTTCTGCGTAAGTATAGGTGCGACTAGAACGAAGATAGCGTATTTGTAACGAACATATATATATATATTGTGACGCAAGTTTTGCGCATATGGCGCGCTAATGGCGCGGACATGCACGCACTTACACGCGCATAGCGCGTACTTAGCGCCCAATAAACATGGAAAATGCAAGTTGTCTCCGGGAGCCGCTGTTCGACAAATTTTGATGCAGGCATCAACCACAAAAGCAAACCGCAGTCCCGGGCGCTGTGGCTTTGGAGCAACACCACCCCGAGACACCAGGCATGAGATATCCCGCGGGGCATACCGCACCTACACGCGGACATTTTCCCTCGCACCGCTTTTGCAGAGGGGTCTGCGGATCCCCTGGGCCGTCAAACTTGGTATTCGATGAGCGCTCTGGCCTCGTGTGCATATAGGATCCTCGGATCATTGTCAGTAGAAGTCTCCCGCTGTATAGGTTTTGGTCTGTCTGGGGACCACGCGGGGCGCGGCCATAGAGTCGACAGACAAAATAATAGACATATCTGGCGCAATGCAAGAGATCTCTGAAAGTTCGAAGAAAGCAACGGCGGCAATATGTCGGTATATGTCGGCCAGTCTATCTTTATAACCCTTTTCATTGGGGACATGTCGGCCAATGAAACAGGACGCCGGGATTTTGTCGATCAATGGATATGTGAGAATTGTATTTGTAAAGTTTGTGTGCTCCAGTGCTATTAGTATACATCTGATTTCTCTGGCCGAAGCGCAGCCATGGCAAGCACGCAGGACATAGCGGAGACCAAGAAGTGCCACAAGTGCGCAGTACAGTTTGCACTCCGTGTGCGCTGGCCACATTCTTTTCCAGATGTCGAAGGGCAATCGGACATCACATAGAAGTGCAAAGAAAAAAGCAGCTGCACTTGCTGTTCGCTTGCGCGCCACAAAACACACCAGAACGCATGCTTCTGCTGCGTAAAACGTTGTTTCTGCGATCGTGCCTGAGTTACCGCGTAGATAGCGTGTACATATATATATACATAACATAACATAACATAACATAACATTGAGATATTGTATGATTTATGTTTGCTACAAGTGGCCTATGTTTGCTATATCTTGGCTATAAGTGATTCGGACCTATTAGTGGAACCTGCACTTGTCCCATCGACATGCCAGAGAGTATGCATCCAGTCGGTCAGAGCTTCACAGAACTGATGGATCTTTGTGGGGCACACTTTGGGAAAAGACTGGACACCACCGCTCCTGCCAGCAGATCCTCCAACTCCTTGGGTTCTTCCTCGCAGGACGACTTGCTGCTGATGTTAGCTCGGTTGACCTTGCGGCAAGAATATCAGTTGAATCAGCTTGCCTTGGATCGTTCGTTTGTGATGTTCCTGCAGTGTGGCAAAGGAAGCGTGATGCCCCTGATGCTTCAGACTTCGAAGGAGTGGCACGTATAGTCTCAACCACTGACGTCTCTTCTTTTTCGGACTTTGCTGGAGGAACTGATTCGACGCGCCCAGATGCTGAAACTCGACGATCCCAAGACGCCTTGATTCAGGGGTTGCGTTCAAAGCAGGTTCTCACCGCAACGAACCATTGGAATTTCATGAGTTGGGACCAGCATTGTTTACGCCCCAACAAGCAGGAACCCTTGAGCTCGGAATGCCTTCACGAGATGCTGCAAACCATGGTTCGTTTGACCCAACGGTTGGACTTGATTCACCGCTTTGCAGCCATGAAGCCCATGCCAATTTAAAGGACAAGGGGGGGCAGACGACACCACTGTGACCATATACCATGGCGCCTCGACCTTTCGGTTCGCTGCCAGGAGAGCTTGGACTTGTTCAACCTTATCACCAAATTGAGCGGCAATGGGATCACTCAGTTGATCATGATGAGACATGACATCGACCAACAAGTCTCCAGCGCAGCCCTTTGGCCACGGTGGCCATTGCGCAGAGGCTCAAGAAATGTGCAGCTTCGATTGCAGAACCCTGGAAACATGTGCTACATTCTGGGGGTGATGAGGGCAGAACTTTGGGCATCCCTCATTCAGATGGCTTTGAGAGCTTGGGCCACTTGGCTTTTCTTTTGTCGCGTGACTGGGGAACTTCTGCGCAGCTTCTTTTAAGAGAACTTGTTTGGGGGCCTCCTCGCACCATGGTTTGAAGGGAGGAATGCTGCAGCGCAACAAGACGCCGCTGAATTTGCGGGCTGGCAGGCACCAGCTTTTTGGCGCGGGTCCTTTGGGGAGATCTCAGGATGGTTCACGACTGAGGATCAGGGATCCATGCTTGCACCGTTGCTCCTTCAGACAGCGCGCCCGCAAAAGTGTTTGTTGCAAAACTTGATTGACGAATGGCGTCAGTAGCCACCTTTCACATGTGCGCTGACTGACCCTGTCCCTTGGAGTTGCTCTGAGGTCTTGCTGCCCATCTTTCACACTATATGGCCGGCATGTTCACCTCCCTTGTGTTCATGCTTGCAGACGATGATGTTGAACCTTGGACGCTGCCAGCGGTTGACCATGTCACGCGTGATGGTTGCTACCTTGGAGCCTTCGGACTCCTTGACATGTCCACGTTGGAGACTGCCGATCTGTCGCCACTGACCTGCTCGGAGCTGCTTTTGACCGAACATAGCTTTCGCTTGTGAGTTTTGCGGATTTGGGCCATTGACGTTCGTGAAATGTCCGCCGTTGATATATCTGTCAGCCCATGACGGGCAGCCGACCAGACTGCCGAATAATGAAATGAAATGACAATGGACGACTGTGGGAGCCAAGAGTTATTATGGTGTGATGTCGGACGACTGTGGGAGCCAAGAGTTATTATGGTGTGATGTGGGACGACTGTGGGGGTCATTTATCACTTGGAGGTTCTGCCTGCTTAGTAAGTACTTAGCATTTTAATGTACTTACTAGCTGGTCGGTTACTATCTCTGCCAAGTTAGTTGACAAGTTGCCTGAATGTAGATATTAAGTCTTCTAACTGTTGTAAGTGATGGGCTTCGACTTACTCAACTTACTAAGTACTTAGGTTATTTTTCACTACCTACTTAGTATGTTGAACAAAGGTTAGTTTCTCATTAGGGCACTTAGCATACTTAGTTTGTAACTACTTAGGGGCACTTAGCGCACTTATAACCTAAGTTTGCTAAGTGAGTTAGAGCGCTTAGTCTAAGTCGGCTAAACCCATTTGCTAAGTCTGCTAAGTCTACTTAGCATACTTAGCGCCAATTCGCCGAAAAAACACTATTGCACAGCGCCAATGTGTCGAAAATACAAAATTGCACAGCGGCAATTCGTCAAAAAACAAAATTGCACAGCGCGAATTCGTCAAAAAACAAAATTGCACGGCGCCAATTCGTCAAAAAACACAATGGCACAGTGCGAAGTCACCGAAAAACAAAGGACGCTAAGTACACTAAACTATTTAAGCTAAGTACGCTAAGTGCCCATGGCTAAGTACACTAAGTGGCCTCGTTCTAAGTAGGCTAAGTGAATTGTAGCTAAGTACTATAAGTTCTCCAAACGGTTACTACATGGCTTAAGTATTTACTAACCAGGCAGAACCTCCAAGTATGGTGTGATGTTGGACGACTGTGGGGGCCAAGAGTTATTATGGTGATGTCGGAGGACTGTGGGGGCCAAGGGTAACTATGTTGTGATGTTGGACGACTGTGGGGGCCTGGAGTACGTATACGGTGTGATGTTGGACGGTGGGGAAATTGGTTGGCCATGTCCAGACGTTTGGCAGATGGTTCTGGCTGGATGGCTGGAAGTCCTGGAAATGGTTGAGAGCGAGGCTGAAACGACGAACTGTCGCTTTTGCGCAGGAGTGCCAGCCCATGATGGGGAACGAACAAAGAATCAAATAAATGATACGACTGATCTTTGTACCAGGAGTTTCATGTCGTTTTGGGATACCCAGACTCAGAGCATCCACTCACTAGGGCACGTTCATGGAACTCGAAAAAAACACATTGGAATCGGAATTTCTTCTGCAAAAATTCATTAAATCTCTCTCCGTCTCCGTCTCGATCTGTCTCACTGTCGTCGGGTCAGTTGGTGCCTTTCACCGCCTGTTTCGCATCCTGTCACGTGAGAGTCTCGAGCTTAGGTCACCGTCAGCTTGGGATCGGAGGGCGTAGAAGAGGAGGCGAACTTGATGAGATGATCGGGTTTCAGTAGAGAGACGTGATCAGGATGGCAGGTGTTTGGGGTGGGTTTGGAGGGTCCAAGGAGCTTCTCAGGAGTTAGTTGGAACCCTAGGGTCGGGTCAGTATGCAGGTGGTGAGTTGCCTTGTGCCGCCCCAATAGATACAGAACGTCTTGTAAGAAACAGATGTGCTGGGCATTACATGCAGCGCCGCCTGAGAGTGAAGGCGACGACTGGCCGTGCCTCGCCAGTGCATCTCCAACTCCCATGTGTCCCACCCAGGCAATGCTACTGGCAATCTTGACCACCCATTGGACCTTCTGGGGACCCCGGACTTCCGACTTTCCATGGAGATCCCTAGAGATCCCGCCTTGCACGGGCGAATCCCAAGAATGGGCCTGTCGGACAGCCTAGCGTCTACATTGCCGTGAAGACATGTGAATACGCATGTGAGCTAGGCTCAAAATGATTGAACCTAGCACATGGTCTGTGAGTGGTCATGGGATTTCGAACAGCAAATTTCGCTGAACATTGAAGACACACTATACAACACTCACCAAAAACAATAACATGAGGGACATGCAAAACGATAGTACACTCTGCAAATCCTGATGAACCTGCAACTCCACAACAACCTTTGAACGTCCCTCATATGCAAAATTGTGCCAACAGAATATATCACCTTTGTCACGGAAAGCCACTGGGTGGCTTGCATTCCCCTGAAGAAGGCCTTGACACAGGCCAGCCGACCAGTTCAGATTGGCCACCACGTTTTCCAAGACACGCCATTCCTCTGGGTCATCTCCGCAGACTGTGTTGATGACGCGCTGTGTTGTGTTTCGGTGTTGAGCAAAAGCAATATAATAATTGAAGGTCAATGTATGTGTTTGATTCCAAGCAATATCCGATGTCCAACCCAGAACACCAACCCTGAAACTGTAGAATTGTTTTTTTGGATTAGAGCCTGGAAATTTGTCGAGCCAAAGTATATACGTAGATTTGGCTGTAAACACTTGGATTGCCTGTAGACTCCGTATTCCAGTGACATTGATGATCTGCTTCTTTGATCCAGGACAAAAGCGATGCACGTGCTCAGCCGGTCGAGCGGAGCTCAAGGCTTCGCATCCATCTTCAAGTGTCCTGGGCCAAACGAGCACTTCGTCCAAGGAAGGGAGTGGACCCAAACACCATGGAAAGGAGCAAAGGGGGAAGTGATCCTGGGTGAAGAATGCCATCCTCCAAACGATGTTGGTTGGAGAATGAATGAGACGAAACAGATGTATCAATCTTCGCGTTCCGAAGACCCTAAGACCTCGTTTTCAAGATGAGGTAGTCTCTCTGATTAGGGCCTGAAGAGACAAGCTTCCCAACAAGAGGTCCTGATTTAGATTCCATGGCAGTCCTTTTAGATCCTTTTTTTTGAACATTTGAGATGCTTAAGTCAGACTGCTGGGTCCGCACTGCTCGTGGATTGTGCCAGCAAACTGATTTCCGCATCCCAGTTCTTGCCCAGAACAATCATGAGCAATCCTTGAAACTGGTGTCACCATGCGCATGTGGCCAAGGTGAGTGAGTTTTACACTGGGGAGGCGTAATGCCCATCCATGACACCTGCGCTTTCCCGGAGCCAGAGAAGATCCGTGAGGACAACGGCAGCTGCGGAAGTCATCATTAAAGGAATTGAAAGTTGGAAGTCATCATTAAAGGAATTGAAAGTTGCAAGACCTTGGTTGACCTACCTATCTGGAAGGTCAAGCTACATGATGGACCATGGCTCCAGCCTCTGACCCATCCGCAATTTGTCAGGGAACGTATTGGCGTAATGTCATGGAATGATCATTCTCGACCCATACTCCATGTTTGTCTCTCTCAGACGATCGTGGAAGCTCAGCGGGGTTTCCTTGAGGAAGACTTGGACGAGGGATTTTCTAGATCTTGCTGGGGGAGCTTATCTTCTAGGTTGTCAGACGATGAAGCATGGATCGAGCTTTGTTATGAAGACTGAAAGGGTTTGAGAAACTGATCTTCGATGAGGGGGTTCAACATGTTTACATGTTGCCATGTTGTTTTCCTTCTACTTTTGATGTTGTATACAACATGTTTTTTGTTGTGGTCTGCATGGTTTGGAGACTGATTCTTCCAGACCCCCCTTTCAGAAAACCAGATCACCATCAACAGTTTGGAGGGCCTCCAAGTGTCACAGTACCCCGAGGTACCGTATTTTCGGCTTTAATGCGTCACATTGACAAACAGATGCCAAAACTGCCAGGTGCTCAGATGTTTTTATGTTATTTTATATTGTTTAACCTGTGATTTTCATGGTCCTGCCATGCGGCGAGACTGCAGTTTTGTGCAAGACGGGCTGTTTGATGCTGCTGTTTCACATCCCATCACTCTGTTGACAAAGCCCACATGTTTGGACTGTGTTTATGCAGAAGGCTCAACCATGTCTGGACATTTTGTAAGTCCAAGGATGTTGAGTCAGAACTGGAAATGCAACAGCCAAATCTCTTACGCCAAGAATGGCGCGACATGCTAAAAAGGGACATGCTGCTCACTGGGCGGAAACATCGAGGTGAAACTCCTGCACAGTAGGAAAAGGGGCGCAGAATCCCCTGCACCCATACATAACAGACGGCAACTTTTTATAGATATCATAAGAAGGTGTGTCCCATGACCAGCAAATGCCCAAGAGATGTGCTTGAACGAAACGATGGGTGGAAGTGAAAAGATTTGGGTGTGTCTCCAATCAGTTGTTTCATGGCGGGCAAACATAGATTCTTTTCAATTTGACACCAGGTCCCTTGTTTTCAATAAAACTACAGATCCGGGTGTGATTAACCTCTTTTCAGAAGAGCTGTGAAGTTGGCTCGGTTCGGCTTGGCATCCCTACAAAAATGGCATGCCATGGCAACATGTGATACGTCTACATTTCTCAGCATGTGGAGGGGGAGCGGCTCATCATCGAAGGAATGTGGGCTGCCCCCAAGGTGGTGGCTCCCGTTTGTACTTATTAGATACCGGAGGACGAGGAACATGAAGTCCATTGAAATCTGCTTGTTATTTTTGTCGTTTTCCAAGATTCTGTTTCCCACCACCACTCCCACTGCGTTTGATCACCCAGTTGGGTGAATGTGGGGATCTTTGCATTCAAAGGCGAAAGGACGCCAAAGCGCTGTCAATTTGTTGGCAACCTCCGCCTGCTACAAACTTTAGACCCTGATCACCAAACCCTACAAATAGTGACCCAGCACCCGGGGTTCAGGGCATAGATCTCCTTTTACATCCTTTTACTGCTGGTTGGTTGATTAATATGAATGAGGCTCCCACCCCCAGTCGTGTACGGACCATCGACCCTGTTCCCAGTCGTGGGCCGGACGCTCCCGCCCTCACACCAAGGCGCCTATCCCTTGGAGCCCTTGGCGGACCACCCAACGCCCCGCGCGCCCCGCGTCGGCGCCCGACCGTGCCACCGAGCGTCCGAGCCCGCCCGAGCGTCGCACCACACCGGCCACGGCGCGCGGCGGCGATGAAGCTTGGCCGGAGGGCTGGGGGGGGAAAAATCATCCAGTTCCATGGAAGGAGGTGCCGAAGTTGGAGACCAGGGCGCAGAACACTTGGAGGAAAGGGACAAAACAGCACCCTTTGGCACTGGATTGCCATTTTCCACAGAGATGTCCGGTGTGACTATGACGTTCTTAGATTCATGTCATGAGTCATGAAGTCTGACGGTACCATACACCTGCCACATATTCCATCCAGCAACCACCAAGCCGGACCTCCGTCCCTTCCATGCCGAGTCCACGTCCCTTCCGGGCACACGAGGACAGCCCAGAGGGCGACCACACGGCCAACCGACCGCAAACCAGGTGCCAAACCGAACTCCGAGGAGTGGAGAAGGTCGAAGAATGAGAGTCAGTCGGAAACTCCAGGTCCCAACTTGGCTGTTTTCCGTGATCAGTTCCTTCTCCCACGAAACAGCTCGTTTTCGGTAGCTCCGTTTCGGTTCGTTGCATATATATCTGAGGATATGGTTGGAGATCTAGGGCTCTTCTAGAGTCTAGGGTCTGGAACGTGCGAACGTCTAGGGCTCTGATTCGTGCTTGCGAAGCAAATCGGCGGAAACGATATCTGAGCTCAAAATCTTCACGCCATCACACCTTGAGAAGGGGAATCCGCCAGAATCAGGGGTCCATGAGTCGTGTGGATATTAGTTGGCACTTACGAAACATAACAACAAACACAAAAACATCAGTTATGTAATCAGTTGAGATCAATTGAGATTGAAGTTACCTGAGCCAGCAGCTCAAGCCAATTTGAGCGGAGATTCTTTAAAGGCCAGGGATAAGATACTCATGTTACGGATTCTGGCTCCAATCACAACCGAGAACACTTGACAGAACTTAGAGCCATGTTACGGATTCTTCTCCGCTTCATGTGAAGATCTTCACTTCTTCAACCCTGCCACACTCGCCAGACGCGCGCGCATTCGGGAGCTCCTCAAGCGCTTGTCGCTTGGGCTTGGTGATCGACTCCACCAGGGCTGGAAGGACTCGCTTCCACCAGGGCGCCCGGTGGTTGTTCGACGGACGCGCTCGCTTGACGTCTCGGGTGGAGAGACGTCAAAGAGTGCGACCGACATGAAGAACGCCAGTTGACGATGGGTTTCACTCACTCCTTTCGAACATCAGATTGACCCCCTGGTCCGACCCTGCCGACCCTGCCGGACCTGCCGGACCTGCACCTTCTGGCTCTCGCGGACCTGACGTGACGTTAGGTTGTTTTTAACCATCTTGTTTGGGTTTGAGAACTATTCACCGGGATGACTGACTGAAGGTTAACGTTATGTGTTATGAGTTCCTAGTTAATTTGGTTCTGAAGAGCTCACATAAGCTCATACCATGGAAGCTCTTTAGCTGATGGCTGACAACTGTGATTCCCCTCAAGTCACCAGTTTGCGGCACAGAATTCTTCCCATGATGGGTGACTCGGCATTTGTTGCCAACAAAGCCGCCGATCCTGAGTTCTCATCCAAGCCCTTTAGATGCTTAGGAGAATGAGGGAACAAGCCTGATCCAGTTTAAGATATCCTTTTTTAGCCCAGGGGATCCCTGAAAATCCGACGGAGCCCAGGAACTTGGCCCAGACCCCCTGCACGGCGGATATGCTTCGGGTGGGTGCTCGACAACGGCAGGCGAAGGAGAGTCGAACGGCAGGCGATGGTGGTAAGAATCCGTCGGGTCAACGAAGGAAGCAAGCCAGACCCACCAACTTCCCAAACTCTGCATTCAGTCTATTCCAAGGCTCCCCCCAAGACTCACCTGACTCGAACTGAACTGACTCACCAGGTCTCACCCCGTGGTCGGTGGATAGGCCGATATATCTCTAGGCCGACGCGAAACACCGGTGCCTCGGCAGGAGCGGCATTTGAGACTGGCCGCGGCCGTGGGGTCCTCGCCCAGCACAGGTGCGGCACTGGAAGAAGATCCTGCAAGACAGATCCGTCAGATCTGCAAAACAGATCGTCTCCTGAAAAGTCTGAGTGTTGACATATGAAAACATGCACCCTGATTCCATCCTGATTTCTATTGTAGAAATCGGGCTCCCAAGTCCAACCTCCCAGTCTGAGAATCCTTCCCGCTTTTGCTATCTACTTCAGAGGGTTTGGAAGATCAGCTTCCCTGATTTGGGGGGGGCTAATATCATCTAATATCATCCTCATGTTTGTTATGGTCACCAAGTACCCACTCAAACTGTGACCAGAGATCAGGTCGATCCTATAGTAATGTTTTGTCTTGGTATACATGGTACATTCATGAATTCAGTGGATTAACCTAGGCCCTTTTTGAAGCATTACCCCATAGCATTAGAAAAGAATCCAACAGTAAGCTCAAGTGGCTTGGCCTCTGACCCGTTTCTTCTGGGGATTCCCCTCAGCATCCCTCTCAGCCGAACAGAATTGCCCCTCAGGCGCTTTGTCGCCTGCCTTGTCCCTGCGGCGGAACCGTTCCTTCATGGAGCTTCTGGCGAGCGACGCGACGGGCGCTGACAGGACCCAGGGGCGGAGCTTCACCGCGGAGCGAAGCGAGCGCCAACTCACCAGGGTCGTAGCCGAAGCGTTGGGTTCGAAGCTATGAAGCATGTGGAGCTGGCGCCGGCAGCTGCCATTTTGGCAGAATGGACTCGAAAGTGAGTGGGTGAACTCGGCGGAAGGGGAGAAGTTGGCTCCATACCAGCACGACGACCACCCACTTCGGGTGGTTGATAGACCCCTTTGACATCCCCTGACTGTACTCGTACTTCCGAAACCAGAAAGCACTTTGCAGTTGTATCCAACGCCCAGCGGGTGCACCGCATAGCGGGTGGGGCCGTCTTGGACCAAGAGTACAACTGAATTCTATGGGACCTTTCGACCAGTTCACACAGCATCGATCGCTTCGACCTGGCTCCAGCAGGACCACTCCAATCGATCCGAGCATCTTGGAGGACGTGCGTGAAGACAATGTTTCGCTGTTGGATTCGCTGTTGGGAAGCTCCAAAACTGTTAGGTAGAGGAAAGACAGAAATCATCCAAATCCATCCAAATCCCGGGCTTGGATTCCAAATACAAGTGAGAGCTGTTACTGTTTATGAAGCAAGATCTCCACAGTTGAGTTTTTTGTTGCCATGATTTGCCTTGCAATTCCTCTCCACCCCATGTAAGCAGACAGTTTGGGGAAGATGCTCTTTAAGATTGCTTCGTCAACTGTTTTGTTGCTGCATGCTGCTTTGGATGTGCATAGCCGGATACTCAATACAGATGAGCTGTTTTGCAACATGGTGTTCTATCTTGTGATTTTGTGTGCTTTCACAAAGAAAGATCATTTCCATCCTGTGAGATGTCGAGGGCAAAAAGGGGTGTCTCAGAGGAGTGTGTCTCCTGTGTTTTGACAAGGCCTGCGACCGATGCACTTGGTGAACATATGTATCACTGCACACGGTCTTGTAGCGTCTGATGACCCTGCGTACTTTGGAATAAACTACAACTTCAGTCGTTTAAGACCTAGGTTGGGCTCAGAAGGTCTCAGAAATATCCTCCAAATATGACAGTACAATACACAGCGGGGGAAGGCTTCGTGGGCTACATAGGAGGCCAGGGGCTGCAAAGATGTTGTTCATGGTCAAACCCTTTTGCTTGCAGGATGTGCTGGCCCGCTTACCGGCAAAGGCTGCAGGATCCAAGCGCAGCTGGGCTAGGACCAGAGAAGAACTGATGGTTGTGAACAGGATGTGGTCTCCTTGGGGGGTGTATCGCCGTAATTATAAGGAGACCCCCAAAGACCCCGGGGACGAGCAAACGTAGACTCAACCAAGTACTATTTCGATATATACTCTTACACGGTTACCTATTTGGGAGACCGTGGAAGCAGGAGATGAATGTTGCAAGCAAAACTGTTGCTTCCAAACCAAAACATTAACATGTAATTTGGTTTTCCATCGCTGCTGTGTCCCCCAGCACCAGTCGTTTCAGCCACACCTCAGGTTCGGACCCATGTTTCACTGTCTTTGGGAGCTTTCAGGGTGGATAGTATGAAGCACAGGTTTCTGCTACACTACACCTGGTCGTTACGTACATAAGTTGGTTTGCAGCCAAACCTGTTTCAAGCATGCCACCGTGGAGAGGTATTTGAGTCTAAAGCCATATCGGACTGGTATCTGCATATGACCATGACTCGATGTTTTCCGATCGGCAAAGGGACAATCCGACCAGGTTGCCACCGAGCTCAGCAACCTACCCTTTATGGATCGGTTGTTTGTTCGTTTGATGAAGTCACTGGATGGTTCGTTCTAGTGGGTACCACTACAAATGTAGGGTCTGTCCTATTACCTGTAACAGGACCTGTAAACAAGCAAATCATAATGTTTGACGGTCTCGGCCTGCAACAGTAACCATCATCCACTGGGTCCAGGTAGACTCGGATAGACCCAAGGTACAACGTGGTCAGGTTTGGACCCACGTGATCAAAGAAGTTGAATTCATGAACCGTTTGCGTTGGCCGCCAGCACCACCAAGGTTTTTTTTGTGGGTCATAGACCCCTGAGCTATGTATTCTTCTTCCAACACCTGAAATGGGTGGCTGGTTGTTGGTTGTTCCGTTTTGTTCCGAGCTTTTTACATCAATATTGTGGTACACACAGGTAACCTTGTTGATAGATCAGGGCGTCCCTGGCTGCATCTCCTTATACGGCTCAACCGGTTGAGGTGAGCCGTGCACCATTTGCTTGGAAATCCCGGGCTCAGGCCGGGGAGACCAGATATGCAACCGATGAGATTAGGATGGAGCTTGGAAGGGCTGTTTTGCAACATTCAACTAATCCTGTCCACCTTATTGAAGAAAACAACTATAAACCGTATTTAGGGTTTCGGACATTGTTCTTTCAATTGGGGAGCGTTTTTTAATAGGTATACTCAGGATTATGTCGAGACCCTGTGAGAAGAGGTAGAATGAGAATCACCTTTTGACAACCCAACGAATGGGTGTTAGCCGCCCTGAGCCTCCTTTGGCAAGTCTCCCTATCCTCAAACGCATACAGGTGTGTACTAGAATACAGGGATACCTCCCAGTTCGACCCGCCGTGGAAAGGGAAAATGGACCAGTCTACCCAGCCAGGGCCAGCGGGTCTCCCTATGACAGTCCTACACTCATTGGGCCAGTCCTGGGTGCCACCGACGCACCGAGTTCCACCCCTCCTTTCTTCTGAAGGATGGACCGAAGGATCCAGATCCAAAAAGACGCTGGATCACCCGCTTCGACCGGTTCGTTGGACCCTCGGAATCCCAGTGACTCAGTCCCGTTCATGACCTGAGGGTCCTCACGTTCATGACCAAGCCTGTTGCTGGAAATATGTGTGATCGTTTTCAGGGTTGCTTTGAAGAACCAGGGACTTAGACTCCAGCATTGGGCGAGGCGAAGTCAGTCAGCAAGGTCGTTTTGGCATGAGGCGGCCAAAGATCATTTTGCGGATCGAGATGTCCAGCAACCACCCTTTTTCGGGCATTAGATGGTAGTATCGGACAAGGAGGGCTCTCACACCATGCAGGATACACAAGCCTCAAATCTTCTTGTTTTCGATTCCGGAAATTCCCCCGAGCCCGGCATGTACCGGTGTTACTGCTGTTTTCGGCGCAGGGGAGGCGGTCACCACTCTGCCATGTTGCCACTGGTACCACACCGAGTGCATTCGAGTTGCTCGACTGCATGGTGCAGACGGGAAGACCGGTGTTTTCCTCTCACCTTCGCCGTGAGCGAGTCCTATGAGAGTCCTATCACAAGGCCAGGTCAGGACGAGGTCGGGCTACGGAGCTACCCCCAATTTCATGTGACCCTGAAACCGTTCAAGGCATGTTATTCTTTGCGTCCAAGCCATGCGTCATTGGCCAGTCCGTGGAAAAAGGCCGAGCCAGTGAACAGTATGGGCATTTTTGCATGTGACTTCTTGTGACGTTTCGTGACTTCTTGTGCGTGTTTGTTGGGTGAACCAGGAGTGGCCGAACCAGATGAACCAATCAACCATTGATTCCAACCATGCACGGAAACCCAAAAAAGCAATCGCTCCCAGTACCTTGAAACAGCCGCTGACCAGCCAAGGAGTGGTTGCTCCATGCGCAGCTTTGTCCCTTGTGTAAGACCTCAGTTGTGCCAGAGGACTTGGGAACTTGAGCAAAGCCTCGAAGTTACCGGACGAAAGGGTCCGAGGCAAGGTCCCCAGATTGGTAGAAAGCTACCAGGTACTACTGAATTGCAGGTTGTGAGGCTTCAACGACCACATTTCATCAAAAAGCGCCTGTCGACAACTGCTGAAAACCACTTGCCACCTGATCGCCTGGTTTCAAGATGTGTTTTTGAAGTCTGTTCTCAAAAAAAGGGCTTCTTCTTGCACCTGCGGAGGGAAACGGCTTCCAACGGCTTCCCTCATCCTCGCTGTCTCACCTGCTTCGTCTCGCCCGGGAAGAGCCCGGGACTCCGGGACCGTGGAGGTGCCAAAGAGGCGGTGACCGTGGAGCTGGACATGAACGGTTTCACAGGCCCTTTTGGTCGATCCAGATGTGATGCAAAAAAATGAAACAAAACATATATATATATAATATAATATAATATATAACATAATATAGGGTGTAGCCCGTGTGTAGCCCCATCAGTAACAGTCAGTAAATGATTATCACCTATGATCACATAAATCATTACGATGTGTTTGTTTGTCTTCTTTTTGTTTTTCAGAAAGGCCATTGCTAACCAACATCATCCGTTGTTGCTGGTAATGGGATGTACCCAATATGTATATTATAATACATACTGTCGACGCATTGACCATCTGACGCGCGAGGTATATATACAATTATGTAGTACATATACATGTATATATTAGTATATCGCCGCGTTTCGACGGGAGCCATCCACAAAAGCGGAAACTGGTCATGCTTTTGGGTTGGTTCCATGTTCTATCTAATCCAGGATGGTGAACAATCTAATCCAGGGTCGATCCTTTTAGTTTCAGTATATACTGAGTTTCATCGATCTTCAGGTACGAGATCCTGTGTGTGGTTCAAAGTGATAGCTTAATTTATAATAGCCAAGATCCGATAGGATTTGAAACCGTTTTTATGCACAACAAGTTCTATTCATTCTTTGCTCAAGTAGTCTACGACATGCTCTATTTGTTTGTCCAACATCAGTTTTCGCTGGTGAACGAGACAGGGCCCCCACATAAACGAGATAGGTATTTTACTAAAGTAGTCTGAACAAGATACTGCGATATGACCTTCTACTCGTACTTAAGTAGTCTATACAATTGAGATAGGGCCCCACATAATGGATGGTGTAGTTGAGTTTTGTAAATATGAATAAGTGTCATATATATATACACACACGTTTACAAAAAAAAAAAACATACCAAGAACCATGTAATTTTGGCTAACATTCAAACTGACCGGACAAATGAGGTGAAGAAAACACGAGAGAGGCCTTCTCAGCTCACGTGACCAAATCTTCAGAAACAACGAGAAAAAGAATGTCCGAATCAAAAAAACGGGTCCAAAAAAAGAAGGAAAGGCGTGCAACAAATAACATTGCAAAATGCTATTAGCTTTTGCGTACAGTATACCCCAGACGATCCATGTATGTATTATATACCATGTGGGTAGTGGTGGGACCGGCTGCGGACGTGGCTTGCTTGACTTCACGGCCAACAGCATCGGTTTGATGCCCTTCAACCCCGGTTTGACGAGCTCACCTTGGGGAATATGAAGCTGGGAATGTCCTGCTCATCAAGCTGTTTGAAAACCCAAGTTGGAGGAGGAGCTACAGTATAACAGTTCCAGCTTTTTGATTTACTGTAGTAACTGCAGTAACTGCCTTCTAAATTAATTACTTGGAACAGGAGTTACAGAATGCAGTAGTTGTTTTTGTTGCTCAGTTTGCATAGTGCGAGACCAAGTATTCTTGGACGGATCATGACTGAGGTTTTCTCAACTTGTGCATCACCGAATCGCATGTTCTTTTTCGTGATGGCTCAAACATCAATGAGTTGCGGTCAAATAGAATCACTGTCACCCAAAGTCATCATCTACAAGTTGCCCACCCCGCTCTTCTGCGGAAGCTGATGGCGATCGACCTGGCCAATCAGTCGCTCGAAGGATTTGATTGAATCAGTTGAATCAGGTTTCTTTGTATATATAAGCTAACAGTGGAGCTACATACAAAGAACACCTGAGCTTCTGGTTGATTCAGAGAAAAACATCTCGAAGACGACGTGATTTCAGAGGGAGATGATGACCCTACTCCCCAACTAACTAGGATGGAGGAGTGCCTAAAGGTGTACTGCTGGATTGGATTTTACTGCATTTGGATTTGGCTTGTTTTTTTTACTTACTGCCAAGCCAGAGGAGACTGCACCATCCCCACTTGCCATCCTGCTTGGCAATCTACAATCACCGTAACGATCCGTAACCATTTCTTGACTGCACGGTGTTTGAAGGATCTGGAACTATTGGAACATCTATGGATATATATATATAACATCTAGAGTACTACCCAGAGCCCCTCACACGCTGTTTCGCCCCCGTTCGCCGTTTCGCCCACGGTACGACCCGCTGCCACGTCACCGGTGCCATGACGAGCGGCGTTGGCGCCTGGTGTCACTGGCTTTGCAGCCCACGAGTCACGAAGCCTTCGGTGACTTTTAAGGACCGGTTTGTTCTCTTTTTTGTCCGAACGGCGACCCCGAATGGGGAACAGAACATGTTTTTTGGGTGCGTTTTTAAATCAGAATATATCAGTACGAGCCCTTGGAATGATGTAATGATCAAAACAGATTGGTGATGTAAATGGTCACTGAGCCTACAAATCACTGCTCCTTTCAACCAAGTCCAGCAGATTTCTGCAGGGAGTGTTAGATTGGCATGTTCATCCACAGTCGAAAAGAGGGACACAAGGTTGGACCGGTGACGTTCTAGAAACAATCATGGTTCGTGGATGTTCTTGGTCTAGTTGCTATTGAGTTTAAAGCAAGAAGAAGCAACTATGATTGTGGTTATGGCACTTCTGGCTTGATGCTTGAAGCCACTCTGTGGGAGCAATATGAAAGTTGTGATTGCACGCCTACGAAACAAGCAAGAACTGCTGACAAATTGGCAACTTTTGAGAAAAAGGTTTTTTTTGTACTAAGTACAGTTCGATGTTATTCATATGGATACACAAATGTCATGAGTGAACCTGTAACAGACCATTGGTAAAAGCCACAACACATGCGACGGCGTGACTTGCTCAGGTTAGTGGACTGAATCATTGTCAGGTTCAACAATGGATTCTTTGGCTGAAACATGAACTTATATGGACTTCATTCAAAATGGAAACAACAGTATAACTTAAGTATACTTAAATATAGTCATTATAGGGGTCACAAAGTTTCACAGTTATATACTTAATCATTCTATTTACAGGTTTGGGCTAAACCGAGCTTCGCCAAATACGTCACCAGGCTGGACGCCTGACCATGTCATCAGACGATGACGGAAACCGAACTTCGCCAGACACTCCATGGGACGGTTTTTACTCGAAAAGCAGCACAAATTAAGCCCTCACCGGATGGAACACATGCAAGTCATTTCGAGTGAGGGACATGGATTTGGTCCACTCTTTGTTACCCTCACGGTAACAACTTGTATGGAAAACAAAAAAAACATGTTAGCCTAATCACGTCGTCCCTGTTTTGTTGTCCAGCCACTCACTCTAGTTCAGTCAACCTGTGCTCACCCTCGTGAGAAACAGCAACAAGCAAAGCGCCAGGAGGCGGGCGAGCGCCATGAGCCCGAGGTGGAACCAGAGGAGCAGTCTGAGGAGGACGTTGCTGTCGAATTGGTTGACGAATGACTTGGTGAGCGGATTGCTGAATTTCGTTGGTTTGCTTGGTAGATCCAAACGAGGTAGTTGGATGTCCAATAAGATCCTGGACTCCATTTACATGTGGGGTGTTGGAGACGCGCCGATTGCAACGCCGTGGCACACGTGCCGCTGAGCGTGTGCGAAGGAACTCACGTTGAAGCAAAAGCTGCTCCAGCGCTCCTCGGACCCTGCTTGCTCGCTGCGCGAACGAAGCCGAACGAAGCGAGTATTTCTCTCACCTGAACTCCTGCTTCTTCAGCTGAGCTTCCCGTGTTTGCCGTCAAGATGGTTCATGAGTCCCAAGTTGAGAATTACGCTCCATCATGATTGATCCTTTTCCTACAGATTGAGTTGAGGAGTCTACCTGTTGCTTGTGACCAGCGTTGGACGCAACTTGAGGCCGCGCAGATGCGGTGTGCCTCCTTAAGTACCCCATGGGAGATGCGGTGTCTACTAAGCTGCATCAAGCTCTATATATATATGATTATATGCCAGGACCATCCTGTCGGGGTGTCCAATGGACTGTGTCCTGGCTGGACTACCCCACACTACCATCCATGGACCTCCATTGGGCACTCCTTGGATGGTCCAGGTGTGTAGGACCGAAGACAGAACCGCCGGCGTTCCGACCCCCTGAAAGGTTCGGAGCCTAGTCGACCCGCCAGCGGGACGATACTATCGAAAACCTATGCACCGGACTCCGGACCTATAGTAGTCACACATGTGCCAAAGTTGTGCACTATGACATAATGAACATGTGCCAATCCATATGTAATGCACATATGTCTTGCACTATAGTAGTGTTAGCAATGCTTTGCCTTGCCTCAAGAAGGAAGTTGCTGGCAGCACTGCTTGAGCGAATTGAACCACATTGCGTTTCGACCTTTGTTGATAAATAAACAGAGTATCATATAGAAAGTCCTTCTATAGATAGGTGTTTTTTTGTTTATTTGGTCAATGCCGTTTGTGATCCTCGAAACCATCCCCATCCTTCATGAGCTCGGGCATCACTTGGCAGCCAGGAACCAAAATTTTCAAGATTGTTCAACTGTTTGTTGCCGACATTTGCCGACCAAAATTGCAACTGGTCAGTGCTACTTTGATAATACCTTCCTTTCGGGGTGCGGCATTCAAGGGGAACTCCATCCAAACACGCTGCGATCGATGTGGAAAATCACCCGTGCAATTTGCTTTGGAATGGCGGGTGTTTACATGATTTGATCACTAAATAGCTATGACTATGACCACCACTTTGCCCACCACTTTGCACCAGGGCTGAAGCGGATGAACACCGGAGACTTGCTGCGCCAGGCTCGCCGGGCGCTGTTCTCACGTAGACGCCTCTCTTGCAGCTGGTAGCGGAGTGACATGAAACCTTTGAGAAAGCGAGAAGCAAACCAGTTCAATCGAGTCGGCGGCCGACGTGCTGGGCAGATTCGGAAGGACCCCTTCTGTTCCGACTCGCTCCATACGGAACATGCTTCAGAACCGACCGTTGTAGAGTTTGTTTTTTCATGCAGATGTGGTGTTTTCTTTCAAGATATGGTGCATTGATACCCTCAGCTAACTATAGGGTTCCACCAAGTAGTTGAGGATATGCGGATATGTGCATTGGACATGTTGTCTTTTTTACTTCTTTGGGGACTCCTCGTCTCAGCTCCCTCTGCCTTCCGTCCACCGGACTGGACCGGTCGGTGGACCGGTCGGCGACCGGTCGGTGGGTGGGAGGTGCACTCCATCGCCCGACTTGAGAAGAGACATGAACAGACCCCAGACACTCCATGTATGGCATATATGCCTACATTAGGGTGGTTTCAGGGGTCAATGTAGGCATATATTCCATACATGGAGTGTTTGGGGACTTGGGATCCCCCAGATTCTTCCGTTGGTCACCCTCACTGGATGGTTGTAGACATAAGCCCGTGACCCTTGAGTAGGCCGAATGGGTTCCACATCGTGGGTTCCACATCGTGGGTTCCACAGGGCGATGGGATCAGAAGCAGGACTTGACGTCACAGGGGTGCCGATCAGGGAGGGATCGGCCCGGACCATCCTGGTCTAAGACACCACCCCTGACGGCCGTTTCTCCTGGTTTGTGATGTCATGTCAGAGTCAGACTGCAGAGTATATCATTGATGTTTTGATGTTTCTGAGAAGTAAAAACCACCTTGAAACACCCAACTTCTGCACCCTTCCTGCCCAACACCTCGCCAGATCCGCCGCAACATCAGCTCCTTTTCCGCGCCTTGGGACCGACGACACGTGTCGAGACCGACCGGTCTGGGACACGTGGAAGACGAAGACCCAAACCGCCCGAAACGGTCAAAGACCCAGACGCGACCCGTCTAACACTGCAGGACGGCCGAGAAACGGCCAGGGGTGGGCATACATGGAGTGTATGGGATATGCCAGTCTCATGGAGTGTTTGGGATATATGCACAGGCTTCAGCTTCAGATGCTTCACGTAGCGGTCAGGGAACCATCGCCCGAACGCATCCGGGATCGGGATTTAGTACCTTTTTTCTGCCGTTCCATGCGTTCCGTGCGCAAGAGCACGGTAAGTGGTAAATGAAAATGTGTATCATTGGCAAAGGGTCCGTCATTGCACGTAGCTGACACTTGATAATATACCATGCCTTCTGGAACTATTCCAGGGGTACCGTGAGTTGCTGGAATAATTTTACTGAAATAATGATTTGAGGGAGGGGAGGGGGGGAGTACCTGGAATAGTATTTTGGAATGATCTAAAGTGGAAGGATTTAGAATAATATGGACCCGTTGTTTTCACTCCTTACCGTTTCAAGCTTTATTTTAAAGTATATCATCAGTATTGCTAAAAACTATTCCAAATGTCAATTGAGGTCAGGAATAATATTTGGAATCTACTCAGAGTATGACAGATTAATTTCTAATTATTCCTGACTACATTGAGGGGAGGGACCCCACATGGTATGGTATATACTTGATATGCCTTTCAACTTGCAACATATTTGGATTATTGAGTCACATCACCCCATCGGAGTGTTGCAGCACCCCAGCATGTTTCCTTCGAGTTGGGATTTTGCACCTGAAAATATATCTGTGGGCCTGAAAGACACGGAAAGCGGTGGGCATCGACGCAGAATGAACTTGTTGGGAACCGGAACTGGGTTTTCGATCCAGGTTCAAAATCCAGGATTCGTTGGGAGCTCAAGTGTAGGGTTGTCCAAACTGGTGACCTGCTGGAAGCATTCCTACAGTGACTCTTGTCGTGTTCTTTGTGGGCAGTGAGTTGTTCGTGGTCGTTTTTGATGGTGTATGTTTCTTTAACTTGTGAAGCTGAAGTTCACACCTCCCATCGGTGAAGTGTGAAGACTGGTCTTGGCGGATCATGAAGACTGATCTTAATGAAGACCCGGAACAGTGGTTGGGCCCGGAACAGTGGTGAATTGAACGCCTTCCCTGGTATGGGTGGGCAGCGCCCTATGTAAGTATAGAATGAACAGGACATACACTAGTATGGGAAAGCGAGACATGTGTGCAAAGAGAAAAGGTCTTGTTTGTGAAGAGCAATCCGACTTCGGCAGCTTTAGATTTTCCAGAAGGATCAGAAGCGACCTGGAAAACCTGTCCTATCTTCTATTCCACACGTTTTCCATCATCAACCAAGCCGCCACCGCCTTTCCCCAGCCACTCCACCCAGCGACCTGTTCCGCATGTCACGTTCGAAAAAGTGATCCCCCGGCAGGGGTCACTGAAGTGAATTCCACTGCACCCCTTGACACCCCCCCAAAAAAAGGATCGAAACAGAAACTGAAACATCGTTAAGTTTAAGAAACATCCCTAAGCATGCAAAAAAGACGTTTCAGGATTGGACCTATACATGTTCCGAATGATTATGCAAATATATGTGCAGCATGAGTCATTTTTCATCGTCAACCGATGGAAGTCAACCAGATGTTTCAGGTGCTCCCAGACTCGGAGGGCGACCTCTCCTGGGATGGCGACGACATGGCCACCGAGCCCGAGATCAGCTTTGCCGTCCAGGAGCTACAAGCGTGACCGGTCTGTTTTTCAGCCTTGGCTGGGGTCGTTGGCAGCGAGGTGTTGGAAGTGCCCATGGTTAATTATATTATTGGGGGCATAATAAAAACGCACATATATCTGTGTGTGTGTCCACCCCTGGACAAAGGGTTCTCAACCAACTTCGGCAGGGGGACTGTCTACCCCACAGAAGTGACAGTCCAACGAAGAGGCTTCTGTGGCGGTATTGATATCAGTTCCGGACGCGGAACTGACGTACCTGCTTTCAACACATTGACTCCACTGGTCCACCCTGCCGCTGTTCGTTGTTTCATGGTCCTTCTTCATGCTACTTTCCCCACAAACAGGTTTTTCCACTGCACTTCTTAGCCGATCGTGATTTGCAGCCAGCCGCCGACTGCAGACTTGCAACTGTGGAAACATTTTTAAACAATAAACCTCTTCAACTAGAAGTGGTATACATATAATGAGCAAGTGG